TGCGGTCTTCTTCCACTTGCTGCTCACTGATCAAACGCTTGGTCCCATCACCAGGTCTTGATTTTCCTTCCAAAAGACAAGAGGGAGGTGGCTAATTTGATATCTCTAGGGAGGGTGTTCCATAGGTGGGGGGCCACTGCTGAGAAGGCCCTGTCTCTCATCCCCATCAACTGATAGTGGTGGGCTCAAGAGCAGGGCCTCTCCTGAAGATCTTAAACTTTGTGATCAGGTTCATGGTCAAACTTCGTGATGGTCAGTGGCCCCATTGCCAAGGGAGCAACATGGTTGGCGCAGATCTTCCTCTTGCCAGTCCTCTGCTTCCAGGACCACATGGTGCTCAAGGAGTTCCATGTTCCAACAGGAACTCCCACCATCTATGATCTCACCATCTCGTGGCTCTTGGTGGGATCATAGCCCAGGCCCATATGGCTATGTTGACTCTCCACCACGGAGGCACCGCCTATGCTGCCAGTACATCTGCCAGGTCAGAGGGTTACCGATTGGGGAAACAGGCTGATTTGCTGTCCAGAAAGCGCTTCGAGCGCTCCCTTCAGGGCCGTGTGGTTTAGATTCGCACAGACAACACAACAGTCATCTGGTACACAAACAAGCCATCTGGTATTGTTCGGATTTCGGTGTAGTTTGAAATTCCAGAAAAGGGATGCTTAGTGTGATGATTCTTACCTTATAAGCCAGAATAGAAGCCTGGGAAGACAGTAGGACAAACCTCCATTTTGAGAGGGTCTGCCAGTAAAGCAGCCATCTTGAGGGAGGATAGAAAGAAGATGGGAGGAGTTGGAGGTCTCCTGGGATTGGCTAGAGCAGGAGCCAAGTCTTGGGAGGGAAAGAGATTTCAGCTTCTGAGCTTGAGAGAGGGGAAGAGATTTGGGAACTGGAGGGCGAAGAAGTGGTTTTTGAGACTGGGTATTTCTGAGAGAGAGTGTGTGTATTTCAGGCAGGGCTGAATAGCTGACAAAAAAGGTCAGGCAGCATACTTGTGTGAGATAATACAAGGGATTTGCTCTCTAGTTTGAGTAAGTTAGCTGTAAGGACTCTGGGGAGAGTTAGCTAATTACTCAGAAGACAGCTTGGGATAGGTTAGTCAAGATCTCATTGCTATTTCGCTGAAGTAGAGGGATTTTTTTGTAACCAGTAGCGATATCTGTATGGTAGCTCTGTTTGTAACCAAGTCAAGAAACACTTTTCTAAGCAACCATTAAGATATTGTGCTATAGTAACAAGTCAAGTGTTTGTGCCTCTCAAAAGAAGTCAGTTGTCTGTTTTTTTATTAATAAACCTTTTCTCTGCTTGACTTTTAAGAAGCCTCTATCATTACTCATTCTATCAGTAATCCTTGAGTAAATTTTCCAGTCAGTTCATCATCCTGATATCTCAAAAAGAACTCTAACCCTGACAATCATCTGTTTGGAGTTAAAGGGAGGGCAGTGGTGGCAGAAAACGGAAAAGTTTTACCTCAGAGCGGCATTTTTAAAATCCTAAGACATCTTGGGTTGGTGGCAGCATTAAACCAAAAGAAGACTGAAACAGTGTTCACTCTACCATTACACACCTCTAACATCATATCGCTACCATACTATTGTCCAGKAGTGTGATATTACATATAATCCTTTACAGTGGTGTTCAGCTGTGGAATATATTATAGTATATACTTTATACTGGTGAGATACTTGGTGTTAGATAACTACGCATTTCGTTATACTGATGGCAAGTGGCGTGATTTACAAGATATAACTTYGCACTTCTCTATAATTGGTGCCAGTGGAGATATTGATATTATAGTATATCGTTTGATCCTTTATATTGGTGTCCAGTGGCGTGATATACATTGAGATTTGGTGTTAGATTATTTTGGGGGGATCCTCCCTCCTTTACATTTAGCTTGTACTTTGAATGACATAGCTGCTGCCGAATCTAGCAAACGGAAGGTGCACCTACATTGCGGAATTAATGCAAATAGCATCCTGGGAGCTGTAGTTTCACAAGGTCACCTCTGCTACAGAGCACAGGAGCCTCCCCAAACTACAGCTCCCAGGACTCCATCGTATTGAGTTGTAACCACAGTTTAAGTGGTATCATATTGCATCAACCAGACTGACACAATAAATAAATCAGATTGAATTAATCCTACGGTGTGGACGCCGCCCAATGGACGCACTTACCATTCCCCAAACCCGCTGTCAGCTGCGATTATTTTCATTACACACTGGATATCGTCGGTCAAGTCATCGTCTATGAAGTCTGTCAACAAGAGAAACGAGAAATGCGGGCACTGTGACTGGAGGATGCCAAAAACTCCCATGACTCAATTACCTCTATTCTAAAGGTAATTGAGTACTCTCTGGTTCAATCTAGAGTCAGAGAAAGACATTCCCTTTGTGATTAGGTCCTTCCTTCCAGTGAAGCCATGCAGTGTTCTCTTATTGTTTCTTTGTCTTTACCTATCAGAATTGAAATGCTCTATAGGAAATGAAAGGCGTTTGTTCTGCAGTTGCACAAGATCTTCCATTTTGTTTGTTTGAGTTGCATAGGAAAATTTGCCAATGCCTTTGGAGTAGCATTGGAAGACTTAGCCAGCAACTCTACCTTCCAATGCAGTCAATGCCTATGGAGTTGCATTGGAAGACCCGAGTGATATGGGCGGGGTAAAAATGAATAAGGCCAAGATAATGCCTGTAGAGGCACATTTCTGCCAACTCTATTATTCTATGATTCTATAATGATGAGGGATCTAGGTGGCGGAGGTACACTGAAAATGACATGGCAGGTGTAGTGAATCTACTATCAGTCAGGCTTAGAGAAGCCTTGGAAAATAGTAGGCCCAAGGAGTCGGCAGCCATCTTAAGAAGAGGTGCTGGGGGAATCCATATTGGTCACTCATTTCCGGGAGGGGCCATATTTAGTAAGACCAGCCTTTTGGAGGGAAATGAAAGAGGAATGTGATTGGCTATGTTAGAGTGGGCGGAGCCTAACTTGGCAAGAGGAAAAAAGTTGTCTTTGAAGAGAGGTTTTTAAATCCCTGTCAGGGGATTGGGTGTTGAAGAGTGAGGGTGTTTGAAGATTAGTGGTGTAGAGGGTTAGTAGAAAAGGCCTGAGATTGGCCAAATTCTCTAGCTGGGTTAGTTAGTGAATGGTTTACAGCTATTGGGAGGATAGCTGGGAAGTAGTGAGATAGATCCAGGTTGGGACTATCTGTGCTGCTGAAGAATAACTGTCAGAGAAACTGTCCTGTAGGTATTCGTGTGCAACAAAGTTAGAACTGTTTATGTAAACATTATGCTTTCGAGACAAATCTCAGTAACAGTAACAAATCTTAGTACCTGCATTGTTCCTGTTCTTGTAAATAAACTTTAATGTTCATTGTTCATCACATCTGACTCAAGTGTGCCTCTGTGCTTAAAAGCAGCTTTAAGCAGGGTTCAAGAACTTAATGGCGGCAGCATAGGTTTTAAAGTTATAAATTAAAGGGTACCTCAGTAACTCAAGCCTGAGGGCTAATACAATCACACGCTTTCACAAACTACCTCAAGTAAGACAAGGGATTATCAGCACTGCTAAGTTGGTGTGTGCCAGTGCGCTTTCAAAAAGGGTTTTTTTGGCCAGGAAGAAAATGGCAGCTTTTGAGTTTTGGGGCTTGTGAACGCAGAAGCCTCGTTTCAATACAAGTGGTGTTTTGCTGTGTGTTTGGGATTTATTATTATTTTTATTTCCTAAATAAATGTCTTCCTACACTTTATAGTGGGCCTTGAGTTTTGACACAGGTGGTGTAGATAGGTACGCCCTTTGTTGCCCCCCCCCCCCTCGGTTCTGCCCAAGAAGAGAGGTGACTTTACCTATGCAATCCGCGCGGCAGACATTCAGGGAGGTACGGCATCCATCGGAGCAATGCTCCATGTTATTGAACTGGAATAGCCCATAGTTCCGTCCGCTGCTCAATTCCTGTTTTGAGATTCTCGACGAATCGTAATAGCTTGCAGCATGGGCCAGGCAGATCCCTGAAGCAAAACAAAGAAGAAGAGGACTTTAGCAAAGGGCGCCTGCAGACTCAAAATGGTACGTTAATGGCCACAAGTTTATTTCAATATTATTATTATTATTAATTGAAACACAAGGTGAGTCCACAGCAGACACTCTGTTGGCTGTTGTATTGGATCCCACATCGGACACTTCCCAAGTGTATTATTATTATTATTATTATTATTATTATTATTATTACTACTATTACTATTATTATTATTAGCTGTACCCGCCACACGTTGCTGTGGCCAGACTTTCCTCCTTCTTTCTTTCCTTCTTTTTCCCTCCCTCCCTCCCTCCCTCCCTCCCTCCCTCCCTCCCTCCCTCCCTCCCTCCCTCCCTCTTTCTTTCCTTCTTCTTCCTTTTTTCACACCTTTGCTTTCGCCGGGAGCACAGGTTAGTTTCTACGTGTCACTTTGCGCTGTGGGGTGTCCAGCCATTACGTGTAGCTGTCCTGCCTTACCTCACGTGGGAATATGCTTTGTCTTCTATCACTTCATGCACACTTTCACTGTATTTATGTTATCTCCTTCTCCTAGTGTTACCATGGGTTCTTTTCCTTCCTTCCCTCTTCTTTCTTCTTTCCTTCTTTCCCCTTCCTCCCTCTTTCCTTCCTTCCCTCTTTTTTTCCCTTTCTTCTTTCTTCCTTCTCTGTTTCTTTTCTCGCTTCCTTTGCTCTTTGTTCCATCCTTCCTTGTCTCTTTCCTTCCTTCCCTCCCTCTTTCTCTCTTTTGTTTCTTCTCTCCTTCCTTCCCCCTTTCACTTTATTTCCTTCTCTCCTTCCTTCCTTTTTTACCTTTCTTTCTTTCCCTCTTTCTCTCTGTCCTTCTCTCTTTCCTTACTTCCCCCTCCCTCCCTCTTTCCTTCCCTCCCTCTTTTTTTCTTCTTTTCTTCTTCTCTACCTGTTTCTTTTCTCGCTTCCTTTGCTATTTCGTTCCACCCTTCCTTGTCTCTTTCCTTCCTTCCTTCCCTCTTTTTCTCTCTTTTGTTTCTTCTCCCTTCCTTCCCCCTTTCACTTTATTTCCTTCTCTCCTTCCTTCTTTACCTTTTTTCTTTCCTTTCCCTCTTTCTCTCTGCCTTACTTCCCCCTCCCTCCCTCTTTCCTTCCTTCCCTCTTTTTTCCCCTTCTTCTTTCTTCCTTCTCTACCTGTTTCTTTTCTCGCTTCCTTTGCTATTTCGTTCCATCCTTCCTTGTCTCTTTCCTTCCTTCCTTCCCTCCCTTTTTCTCTCTTTTGTTTCTTCTCTCCTTCCTTCCCCCTTTCACTTTATTTCCTTCTCTCCTTCCTTCTTTACCTTTTTTTCTTTCCTTTCCCTCTTTCTCTCTGTCCTTCTCTCTTTCCTTACTTCCCCCTCCCTCCCTCTTTCCTTCCTTCCTTCCTTCTTTTTTCCCTCCTTCTTTCTTCCTTCTCTACCTGTTTCTTTTCTCGCTTCCTTTGCTATTTCGTTCCATCCTTCCTTGTCTCTTTCCTTCCTTTCTTCCCTCCCTTTTTCTCTGTTTCTTCTCTCCTTCCTTCCCCCTTTCACTTTATTTCCTTCTCTCCTTCCTTCTTTACCTTTTTTCTTTCCTTTCCCTCTTTCTCTCTTTCCTTCTTCCCCTTCCTCCCTCTTTCCTTCCTTCCCTCTTTTTTCCCTTCTTCTTTCTTCCTTCTCTACCTGTTTTTTTCTCGCTTCCTTTGCTATTTCGTTCCATCCTTCCTTGTCTCTTTCCTTCCTTCCCTCCCTTTTTCTCTCTTTCGTTTCTTCTCACCTTCCTTCCCCCTTTCACTTTATTTCCTTCTCTCCTTCCTTCTTTACCTTTTTTTTCTTTCCTTCTTTCCCTTTCTCTCTGTCCTTCTCTCTTTCCTTACTTCCCCCTCCCTCCCTCCCTCTTTCCTTCCTTCCTTCCTTCCTTCCTTCCTTCCTCCTTCCTTCTCTGTTTTTTTTCTCAATTCCTTTGCTCTTTGGTTCCATCCTTCCTTGTCTCTTTCCTTCCTTCCCTCCCTCTTTCTCTCTTTCGTTTCTTCTCTCCTTCCTTTCCTCTTTCACTTTTTTATTTCCTTCTCTCCTTCCTTCTTTACCTTTCTTTCTTTCCCTCTTTCTCTCTGTCCTTCTCTCCTTCCTTACTGTATGTGTTTTGTGTGTGCATATATGTGTGTATATATTTCTGTATATATTTGTAGATATGTGTATGTATGTGTTTGTTTACATATGTGGTTTTGCACATGAATTGTAATGTATTTTTTGTTTTTTGGCTTTTTAAGTCCCTTCTGCTGTGTTTTTCAATGTTTTTGTGACTGGTGGTTACTTGTTGGCCTGAGAGGTGTCTTGTGTCCAACTTTGGTGTCAATTCATCCAGTGGTTTTTGAGTTATGTTATAGATTACTAGCTGTCCCCTGCCACACGTTGCTGTGGTCCAGTCTGGGGATCTAGAAAATAAAGTAATGAGAAAGTCAGTTCTTGTGGGTTTTTTCGGGCTATATGGCCATGTTCTAGAGGCATTTCTCCTGACGTTTCGCCTGCATCTATGGCAAGCTTCCTCAGAGGTGAGGTCTGCTGGAGCTGGGAAAAAAAGGGGTTTATATATCTGTGGAATGACCAGGGTGAGACAAAAGGCTTTTGTAAGTTGGGCTAGGTGTGAATCTTTTCAATTGACCACCTTGATTAGCATACAATGGGCTGACTGTGCCTGGAGCAAACTCTTCTTGAAAGGTGATTAGATGTCCCTGCCTGTTTTTCTCTCTGCTGTTTTAATTTTAGAATTTTTTAATACTGGTAGCCAGATTTTGTTCATTTTCATGGTTTCTTCCTTGCTGTTGAAATTGTCCACATGCTTGTGGATTTCAATGGCTTCTCTGTGTAGTCTGACATGGTGGTTGTGAGAGTGGTCCAGCATTTCTGTGTTCTCAAATAATATGCTGTGTCCAGGTTGGTTCATCAGGTGCTCTGCTATGGCTGACTTCTCTGGTTGAAGGAGTCTGCAGTGCCTTTCATGTTCCTTGATGTGTGTCTGGGCGCTGCGTTTGGTGGTCCCTATGTAGACTTGTCCACAGCTGCATGGTATACGGTAGACTCCTGCAGAGGTGAGAGGATCCCTCTTGTCCTTTGCTGAACGTAGCATTTGTTGGATTTTCTTGGTGGGTTTGTAGATTGTTTGTATGTTGTGTTTCCTCATTAGCTTCCCTATGCGGTCAGTGGTTCCCTTGATGTATGGCAAGAACACTTTTCCTCTGGGTGGATCTTCATCTTTACTCTCGTGGCTTGTTCTTGGTCTTGCAGCTCTTCTGATGTCTGAGGTGGAGTCTCCATTGGCCTGGAGAGCCCAGTTGAGGTGGTTCAGTCCATCTTGGAGGAGGTGGGCTTCGCAGATTCTTTTTGCACGGTCTGCCAAGGCTTTAATGGTGCTTCTTTTTTGACTTGGGTGATGGTTGGAGTTTTGATGTAGATATCTATCTGTGTGTGTGGGTTTTCTGTAAACGGTGTGACCCAATTGTTGATCTGGTTTACGGATGACTAGGACATCTAGAAAAGGCAGTCTTCCTTCATTTTCTTTTTCCATGGTGAACTGGATGTTTGGGTGGATGCTGTTAAGATGGTCCAGGAACCTGTTGAGTTCTTCTTCTCCATGGCTCCAAATGGTGAAAGTGTCATCCACATATCTGAACCATATAGTGGGCTACCATGCAGCTGTGGACAAGTCTACATAGGGACCACCAAACGCAGCACCCAAACAAGAATCCAGGAACATGAAAGGCACTGCAGACTACTCCAACCAGAGAAATCAGCCATAGCAGAGCACCTGATGAACCAGCCTGGACACAGCATATTATTTGAGAACACAGAAATGCTGGACCACTCTCACAACCACCATGTCAGACTACACAGAGAAGCCATTGAAATCCACAAGCATGTGGACAATTTCAACAGAAAGGAAGAAACCATGAAAATGAACAAAATCTGGCTACCAGTATTAAAAAATTCTAAAATTAAAACAGCAGAGAGAAAAACAGGCAGGGACATCTAATCACCTTTCAAGAAGAGTTTGCTCCAGGCACAGTCAGCCCATTGTATGCTAATCAAGGTGGTCAATTGAAAAGATTCACACCTAGCCCAACTTACAAAAGCCTTTTGTCTCACCCTGGTCATTCCACAGATATATAAACCCCTTTTTTCCCAGCTCCAGCAGACCTCACCTCTGAGGAAGCTTGCCATAGATGCAGGCGAAACGTCAGGAGAAATGCCTCTAGAACATGGCCATATAGCCCGAAAAAACCCACAAGAACTGAGTGATTCCGGCCATGAAAGCCTTCGACAATATAATGAGAAAGTGTTGGTTTCTAATATATGTGATTTCTTGATGGTTGTGGGTAAACAGTATTTCTTGTTGTCTCTTTGTCAGTGTTGATGCCTCAGGTGTCCCTCATTCTGTCTCTTTGCATTTCGTTTTTCCTGCCAAAGTGGAGTCTCTTGCATTTGTCCCTGTTGAACTTCATTTTGTTAGTTTTGGCCCTTCATCTCTCTGATCTGTCAAGATCGATTTGAATCCTGCTCCTGTCTTCTGGAGTTTTGGCTCTCCCTCCCAATTTGGTCCCTTCTGCAAACGTGATGATCCTGACTTCTAACCCTTAGTCTAAGTCATGAATGAAGATCCTGGAGAGGACCGGGACCAGGAGGGAACCCTGCAGATGGCCCTCCGCTCGTCACTTCTTTCCAGGATGAAGAGGAAGCCTTGAGGAGAATCACCCTCTGGGTTCGTCCACTTAACCAATTCCAGATCCACCTCACCGTAGTTTTGCCTCGCCCACTTTGGACTAGTTTCTAAATCTGTGCGCGGCTTTTTTGACCCTGATAGCTCACCCTTGAATAAGTGCTACTTCTTTTTCTGTGGAGAGAGAACATATTTGGAACACAGGACCTGAAATGGAAAGGTTGGATGGAGCAAAGTCAAATAGAAGGGTTACTTTCAAACTCACAGTCGTTGATAGTGTATCCCGCATAATCCTCTGGGACGCTATTGGCAAGGAGAGTAACGAGGTGACATCGTGAAAAGATCTTGGTTTCGCCAGGCGCGATGAGCAGGAAGATCAAAAAAGGAGCGGTCAGTCTCAAAGCAGGCATCGCAAAGAGGCCTCGAATATCTTTGGCTGACGGAGAGCTCTCCAGAGACTCACGGCAAAGAATGAACGAGCAAGCAGAGAATGGAGAAGGAGTAAGGCCAACGTGGGCTGCCTTGGAAGATGGCAAGAGCCAGATAAGGGCCAGCGCCCCGCTTCCTGCTCTGCATAACTACATGATGTGATTTCAGCTTCTGCAAGGACCGTGGGTTCGGAGACAGGTGTGCCAAGTTTTCAGAAGGCCAGGTGAAAACTGGCCTTTTTTTGTGGTGGCAAAAAAAAAAGGCCAATGGGATTTTGGCCTGCATCAATAGGAGCCTAGTGTCTAGATCTAGGGAAGTAATGCTCCCCATGCTCTATTCTGCTTTGGTTAGACCACACCTGGAATATTGTGTCCAATTCTGGGCACCACAATTCAAGAGAGATATTGACAAGCTGGAATGTGTCCAGAGGAGGGCGACTGTGACTGTGAGAGCTGTTCAGCAGTGGAACTCTCTGCCCCAGAGTGTGGTGGAGGCTCCTTCTTTGGAAGCTTTTAAACAGAGGTTGGATGGCCATCTGTCAGGGGTGCTTTGAATGCAATATTCCTGCTTCTTGGCAGGGGGTTGGACTGGATGGCCCATGAGGTCTCTTCCAACTCTAGGATTGTATGATTCTATGTGAGACATAAAAACAGATTGAAGGCCATGTCAGAGTGTTGCATTTTCTAATGGACTGTTCATAGAACTGAAAACCAAACAATGACCTTCTGGCAAGGAAACGAGTCCAATGTGGGCTAGGCAAAACTACGGTGAGGTGGATCTGTAATTGGTTAAACGGACGAACCCAGAGGTTGATTCTCCCCAAGGCTTCCTCTTCATCCTGGAAAGAAGTGACGAGTGGAGTGCCATCAGCAGGGTTCCGTCCTGGGCCCGGTCCTGTTCAACATCTTTATTAATGACTTAGATGAAGGGCTAGAAGGCAGGATCATCAAGTTTGCAGACGACACCAAATTGGGAGGGAGAGCCAAGACTCCAGAGGACAGGAGCAGGATTCAAAACGGATCTTGACAGATTAGAGAGATGGGCCAAAACTAACAAAATGAAGTTCAACAGTGACAAATGCAAGATACTCCACTTTGGCAGAAAAAAATGAAATGCAAAGCTACAGAATGGGGGACAATGCCTGGCTCGAGAGCAGTACGTGTGAAAAAGATCTTGGAGTCCTCGTGGACAACAAGTTAAACATGAGCCAACAATGTGATGGGCAGCAAAAAAAGCCAATGGGATTTTGGCCTGCATCAATAGGAGCATAGTGTCTAGATCTAAGGGAAGTCATGCTCCCCATGCTCTATTCCGCTTTGGTTAGATCACACCTGGAATATTGTGTCCAATTCTGGGCACCACAATTGAAGGGAGATATTGACAAACTGGAATGTGTCCAGAGGAGGGCGACTCAAATGATCAGGGGTCTGGAGAACAAGCCCTATGAGGAGCGGCTTAAGGAGCTGGGCATGTTTAGCCTGAAGAAGAGAAGGCTGAGAGGAGACATGATGAGGGCCATGTATAAATACGTGAGAGGAAGCCACAGGGAGGAGGAGGGAGCAAGCTTGTTTTCTGCTTCCCTGGAGACTAGGTTGCGTGTGCACGTGTGATACACCTCCCACAGCCAGCCCAAGAAGTACACTAACACAAGGTATGGGATGAACAATGGCCGCAACTCATTTATTGATAACAGGAACGAGGGTTGGCAGCTAAGCATGGGTCCTGGATCATGATCGGGCAGCCCAATACTGCCCGATCCCACACACTCACCAGGGTGCCGCTGGCACAATACCAGGCAAACGCAACCCGGCACCCCTGGGACCACCGGGCATCCCCCCCCTACCTTACCGCTAGGGGGGGATACCAAACCGGATCCAGGGCCCATGCCCCACGCCAACAAGGAGTTGTGACAAGGAGCATAACACAAACAAGTAACTGTTAACAGGCAATCATGACCAGGAAACACAACCCAAGTAAACTTCCAATAAAAAACATTAACTACATGCAGGGTGGGTGGGATGGATCAGCTGTTGCAGGCCAAGTGCCTGCTGAGGAGCCCTTATGAAGGCTGCCCCCGAGGAGGGAGAGGCCAGCTCAGGCCTCACCTGCAGTGGGCGTGGTCAGTTGGCTATTGCCCCCCTGACCTGCTGGCGGGAAACCTTCTTGCCATCAGAAGGGGGCTTCTGGGAGGAAGAAGCCCCCCTTAGGCAAGAATGGCGGTGGGGAACGCCCTGCACCGCAACTTCTTTGGCCCGGTAAGTCTGGCCATGCCTTTTCACGAAATTGATCCCACCTCATTTTATTTCTCTGTGATAATTGGAATTTGGGGAATTTGGCTCGTTGTGGAAACGTGGATCGGAGATACAGCTTCAGTGAAGCCACAGGAAGGAGGAGGGAGCAAGCTTGTTTTCTGCATCCATGGAGATTAGGACAAGGAACAATGGCTTCAAACTACAAGAGAGGAGATTCCATCTGAACATGAGGAAGAACTTCCGGACTGTGAGAGCTGTTCAACAGTGGAACTCTCTGCCCCGGAGTGTGGTGGAGGCTCCTTCTTTGGAAGCTTTTAAACAGAGGCTGGATGGCCATCTGTCAGGGGTGATTTGAATGCAATATTCCTGCTTCTTGGCAGAATGGGGTTGGACTGGATGGCCCAGGGGGTCTCTTCCAACTCTAGGATTCTAGGATTCCATGTTGACATAAAAACAGATTGAAGGCCATATCAGAGTGTTGCACACCAGGGCTGGGGTTGGCACCTTTGAACCCGTAAACACACCAATGTTCTTTAATAAGCAAAGCAGTTTATTGAAGATTAATATAGCAATAGTCAAAAAGGTAAAAAATATTCAAATTGTCGCAGCTCAGGATAGATTCTCCCCAAGGCTTCCTCTTCATCCTGGAAAGAAGTGACGATGAGCGGAGTGCCATCCGCAGGGTTCTGTTCTGGGCCCGGTCCTGTTCAGGATCTTCATTCATGAAGGCTTAGAAGGCAGGATCATCAAGTTTGCAGACGACACCAAATTGGGAGGGAAAGCCAAGACTCCAGAGGACAGGAGCAGGACTCAAAGGGATCTTGACAGATTAGAGCAGCGGTTCTCAACCTGGGGGTCGTGACCCCCAGAGGGGTCGTTGGGCCATTTTTGGGCGGTCGCGAAGCTACCTTGGTTGGCTCCGCCCCCCCCAAAATGGCTGCTGACCCCCTGTAACAGACAAAAAGCTAGCACTCCTGGTCAGCCCCTGGGGCCCAGGCGGAGGGCTGCGCAAATTGCAAGGTCGTGCGGGCAGCCTTTCTGCCCGGCCCTTGCTATTTATGCTGGAGATCAGAATGCTCTTTGATGGCAGGGGAGCTATACATCCCAGTAGCTCCCAAATGCCAAGGTCTATTTTCCCCAAACCTCTCCAGTATTTTCTGTTGGTAATGCGAGTTCTGTGTGCCAAGTTTGGTCCAATTCCATTGTTGTTGGAGTTCAGAATGCTCTTTGATGGCAAGGGAACTATACATCCCAGCAACTGCAACTCCCACATGTCARGATCTGTTTTCCCCAAACTCYACCAGTGTTCATATTTGGGCATATTGAGTATTTGTACCAAGTTTGGTCCAAATGCWCAGTCGTTTGGGTTCACAGTGCTCTCCRTATRTAGGTGAACTACATCTCCCWAAAATCATTATCTATTCCTCCCAACCCCCTCCAGTATTTTCTGTTGATCATTGGGGTTCTGTGTGCCAAGTTTGTTCCAGGTCTATAATTTGTGAGGGTCTCAGTGGTCTGTTGAAGTCTGAGCTGAATCGGTTGAAGGTACTGCAAATCCCATCATACATTGTCCATACTCCCCGAGCATATTGTTTTTGTGATCAGTCACTATGCTTTAATTATGCTCAATTTGTAACAATGAAAATACATCCTGTATATCAGATATTTCCATTCTGCTTCATAAGAGTAGCAAAATTACCATTATGAAGTAGCAACGAAAATATGGTTGGGGGTCACCACAACATGAGGAACTTTATTTAGGAGTCACGGCATTAGAAAGGTTGAGGAACACTGGATTAGAGAGATGGGTCAAAACTAACAAAATGAAGTTCAACAGGGACAAATGCGGGAGACTCCACTTAGGCAGGAAAAACGAAATGCAAAGAGACAGAATGGTGGTTGAGAAGGGCGGGGTAGAAATGCTCGAAATAAATAAATCAACAAGACATTGGTCAATGGTCAACCCGATTTAATTTCCAGACAAAGAACAGGTAGAACAAATAGTGAGTGATAAGCCCTCCTTGAGGACCATGTACTCCACGCGGAATGCATTTCGAGGACCATCAGAACATCTGCTTCTTCTTTCAAAGGGAAGGAGGAAGCAACGTAGGACGATGATGGAACCAAAATGTCATCTCTGATGCCCTCCACGAAACCTAAGAACCTACAAGCCACGTTTCATCTCCTGGTTTTAATGAGTTTGCCTTAAACTCATTAAACTCATTACCTGGTGACTGTTCTTTCTCAAACCACTAGCTGTCATTGAATTCAAGGCAGCTTTCTCGTAGGTGTTGATAGAATCATAGAATGAAAGAGTTGGAAGAGACCTCCTGGGCCATCATCCAGTCCAACCCCATTCTGCCAAAAAGCAGGAATATTGCATTCAAATCACCCCTGACAGATGGCCATCCAGCCTCTGTTTAAAAGCTTCCAAAGAAGGAGCCTCCACCACACTCCGGGGCAGAGAGTTCCACTGCTGAACGGCTCTCACAGTCAGGAAGTTCTTCCTCATGTTCAGATGGAATCTCCTCTCTTGTAGTTTGAAGCCATTGTTCCATGCTCCTAGTCTCCAGGGAAGCAGAAAACAAGCTTGCTCCCTCCTCCCTGTGGCTTCTCTCACATATTTATACATGGCTATCATATCTCCTCTCAGCCTTCTCTTCTTCAGGCTAAACATGCCCAGCTCCTTAAGCCGCTCCTCATAGGGCTTGTTCTGTTCTCCAGACCCT